TTACAACTTGTCAAAGCTCACTGATTAGGATTAGGGCTTACAAGAAAAATCTAAATTGCTTGAATATGAAAGTAAGAAGATAATTGGAATTTATGTATGATTGAGGCTACTAAGAAGAGTATTTTTTAGTACTTTTGAATTAAAATTTGGATTATATTCTTCTCATATGGATGAATTCTATTTGGATTTCTTGGATACTTGTGAAACACAATCTCACCTTCTACAACTAAGTGCCCAATGCATTTCCAAATAAGACAACAAGTAATATGATACCGCTCTAATAGCAAAGTTGGAAGCATACAAGGAAGATTAAGATCATAGAGTTGCAATATTGGAGCAGTAATGAGTGTCTTTTTCAACTTAACAAAGGCATTTTGCTGCTCCAATTTCCATTCAAATAAGACATCTTTCTCCTATATGTTTGTTAATGAGGCAGTAATATGAGCAAATTGTCAAATAAAATGGTGATAGTATCTAGCAAGGCCTAAAAATGAGCAAAGTTCATAAGCATCCTTGAAGGTTGGCCAATCTTCCATAGCTTTCACCTTATCATGCTCCATACACATGCCTTTGGAAGATACTACATGCTCCAAAAAGGTGACTTCTAACTTCTAAAGTTCACATTTAGATTGCTTGCAATAGAAGCGACTATTTTGTAGCTTGCATAGGACTTCTCATAGGTATTGCTCATGCTCTTTGGAGATTTTACTATATACAAAGGTATCATCAATTAAGACAACTACATACTTATCCAAAAGGTCTTGAAACAATCTGTTCATCTAACCCATGAAAGAGGTTAGAACATTGGTGAGGCCAAAGAGTAAAATCAGCCATTTAAAATATCTATAGCACATACAAAATATTGTCTTTTCTACATCCTCTCTTGCAATAGGTGTTTGTCAATAGCCGCTCTAAAGATCTAATTTATTAAAGATAGTTATACCTTGAAGTTGGTCAAGAAGATCATCTACGTGTAAAAGTGGATATGCATTTTTAACAATCTACTTATTAAAGCCTCGATAGTTGATGCAAAGGCAAAGTCCACCAACTTTCTTGGGTGCAAAGAATATGGGTGCTCTCCATAGAAATGTGTTTTTTCAAATGAGGCCTTTCTCTAAGAGTGCGTCCAATATCTTTTGTAGCTCTTTAAGTTCTTTTGGTACTAGGTGATAAATTGGTCGACTTGTTGCTTTGGCTCTAAGCAATAGTTATATTTGAAAGGAGGGACCTCAATGAAGAAGTACGCTACTAGGTAGGTTATTTGGAAAGACATCCTAATATTCTCGTATGAGTTGCTCTGCTTGTTTTATCTCTTTGGCTGTCCTTTCTACCACTGATGCAAGATTTAGAACCACCATATATACTAATTTCTTATGTTATATTTGCTTCTTTATAAAGATCATCATTATGAGTAAGTCTTTGGTTGCAAATTATCTTTCTTCTTCACTTGATGCAAAGGTACAAAGAATCACCTTGCATCATCCATCTTTAAAAGAAATTATCCTTCCTATCCAATCAACTTATTTATTTTCCATCTCTAGCCATGGCATTCCAAAGATAACATCATATCTTAGCTTTATCACCTTAAATTTCTCTCTTAAGATGTAGATGTCTATCAATCTCAAGGTTTCTTTTTCACACATCTTACTCAATATGTTCTCTCAATAATCTACAAGATATATACTTTCTTTCTTAATTGAATTAATTTTAATTCCAAGCCAATCCATAATTTCAATTGAGATGTAATTTTTTATAGAGCCATAATCTACAAGCACTCGATATGGTTGTCTTTTTAGTAGTTGTATTAGATGCACCAGCTGACTCTTTTTATAATTATCTGAGTCTATGCCATTTGTCTCCAAGAGTTGGTAGCTATCTCCAGTATTGGTTCTTAGCACCTTTATTATGGTGTCTTGTTTTCATGCTTTAACTCATTATCGATTTGATGAGTTTTTAGACTGTAAATCCACTTTGTCTTGCTAATGCTTGAATTTTGACGTTTTGGATAACCTCCGATCTGATTGGCCTAACTCTTGACAATAGAAACATAATCCCTTTTGCACTAATATTTGTTGTGTTTGTGGTGTCAATGACCCTTGTATGGCATCAATCTCCATTGGCGTTGGTTGTTATGCCATAGTATTAAATAGTGGCATGGGACTTCATACTATAGGTCATGTTCTATAATTTTTGAAATCTATGGTATCAATCCTCTCTACAATCCAAATTACCTCTTTGAATGTTTGTGGATCCGTTAGCTCCACCTCTTGTTGGATCCTAGGTTTCAAACCTCATAGGAATCAATCTATCATCTCCGCCTCCAAAACATTTCCAATCTAGATACATAGGGACTTAAATCGAGGGACATAATTTTGTACTGACCTAGCTTGTATAAAATTTGTCAACTGATTGCGTGCTATCTTCTCCGCATTGATGGACAAAATTGATTCCTAAACCTGATCTCAAACTCCTCTTAGTCACAAAATCCACCTTGAGCTCTATAGCTTTGAACTTGATGTCACCACCAAATAGCTGTCACATCTCTCAAATAGCTAGCTGCATATGTAATTTCTTCAGTAGTATTGGCTCTAGATAGTTGGAAGTATTATCACATGTTCAAGAGCCATTGACATACATCTTCTTGTTTTGAAGTTCCAAAGTATGTACTAGACTTATTCAATTTCAACCTAGCAAATGTTGACTCTCTTATCCTCGAGGCTTCTACTTGCTCTTCCAAAGTATAGCTATTTGGCCTAAATGGTATTGTATTTGAGCCTCCATTTGAGATTGCTTTGCCATATCTCCCATATTATAATTTCTCTGCTAGACTCCATTATTATTATGCATTTTCAACTCTCAATTGATTTTTTTAAGAATAGCTCATGGTAGCGTCAACATAGTATCTAATGTGACCACAACAATTGACCAAGGAGTAGATGTTGACTATTCACACACTACCAAAAGTAAACAGTCTAACACTTGCTCTGATACCAATGAAACAGGACCAGACTATCTCAAAAATCCAAGAGCCTTCCAATCCACATCAAGATAAAGCCTGATTACAAAATAGGACAAAATAGACTAAAACAAAACTGAACGGAATTAAACAAATAGGACATGAAAGACAAAACTGAGTAAACGGAAACAAAATAGAACATAATTGAATAAAAAAATGCAAAACCAAATTTTACTTAGAAAAAGGGTCCAAAGCCATACCTGACCAGATACTCCAAAAAGCTTTGGCCAATCCTATTTATACCTTGTCCTACGACCTTGGATTTTTTAGAATGTTCTTAGGTAGTGGACTCCACCTAAATAATTACCTTAAATTTCTTTTCTAGAAGGTTTCATAGTAGACCCTACTTAGATAATTACTTTAAATTCCTTTTCTAAAAGGTTCCATGGTGAGCCCTATATAAATAACTGCCCTAAATTCTTTGTAGAATGTTCCACGATGGATCCTATCTAGTCTACTAACCTAACTCCAATTCTAGAAACTTCTATGGTTCTAACTATATATAGAATTATCTTATCTATACCATGTTACAACAGAAGTAAAAATAAATTTGTAGTTATTGCAAATCTTTATGAATTTATCAATATTTCTAAAGTAGAAATCTCACATATTACCAATGTCAATAATAGAAGTACTATTCATATTCCTATAAAAAAAATTCAACCATGAAGTTCAATATCTATGCTAATAAATTGTTTAATTAAAAGAAACAAGTAGATCAATCTCAGAATTTAATTCAAGAAGTCTTGCTATTATAAGTATAAAAGAAATAAAGATCTGTATGTTAAAGAAGTTTAATAGAAGAAGTTCATAATTTTGAAGATTCTTATATTAAATCAAGTTCTATTTAAAGTTGTATTCTTCCTAGAACCTAGATAGATTTATTCAAGTTGGATTCATATGCACATTCATATTTGAAAGTATTCTTTTCTTGTAACTAACTTTGATGAAAATAGATTTGTAGTGAATCTTTTAACTGACTTAGGATTTTATTTAAAGAAGTTGAAAAGTGTTTTGATCAAGATATAAGCATTCAATACAACTTATAAAACTACATAGTTAATTTACTTATTATAAACTACAATATACTTTTAATTAATAGGAATTATTTTAGTTCATAGTAATACAGATCATTATAAAATCAATAATAGAAATTAATCAATAAGACACAAAAAACTTTGTATATATACTATATCATTTATTAAAATTTACCTTAATTTATGTGCAATTCAATTATATATACATATATGTATATATATATATATATATATATATATATATATAGTTACATTTGAAATACTAACAAAAAAAAAATTGAGATAAAAAAAAATTAAATAAATAAATAAACTAAAAAAGTATGTCAAATGAACAACAAGTTGTGGTGACAATAACAAAAACTATTGTGACATTAGTAATACCCTCAAAATATTATCTCACTTACAAAAAAATCAAAAGACACATTCTAAAAATAAAAATAAATTAAATACAAGTCATAGATGTCTTCAAAATGGTTTCTGTGTTCAACACATGTTACACATATAAAAAAATGTATTGATCATGAATAAAAACATAAACAAAAGCAATTACAGAGACGTCAAATCAACATACATTTGTGTCTAAGAGGGATATACATAAAAAAAAAAAAAAAAAAAAAAATGCATCGCTGCTTACACATAATTAATAACTCCTGAACCTTACAAAATTACCATGTTTATTGATGAGAGTTTGGACGCCCACAACCTCAACTTTACCAGCTTATACAATGGTTTTCCATAAGATTCTTTAACATTTCATGACTATATGTTTCTTCTACTGAGATTATTTTCTCATGTTAAGATTCACTGTATTATTTGATATGAAGAATGTCCTAAATTCACCTTATAGAAGCTGGATACGCTGGTTTCACACGTAGAAGAAACAATTTTAGTGATGTTTATGCATCAGTTGGGAATCAGAAGAAGAAACATCACCAAATGAAGAGTCATTGAGCATGTAAAAAACACCTTTTAATCTATTACCAGTGTCAAGAGAGGTCATAACCTTGCACATCAGATAGGGAGGTCCCGGACCAAAATGACACCGCTCTGGCCGCAAAGCCTCAAAGCCTCAAATTCTACGCCCTCGACAAAGAGCATGCGACTCCACCATGCTGTTTAAACTCGAGAATTTTTAAGAAAACGTTAGAAAGTTAGCAAGCACCCTCACAATCCTATGCTCGATATATGAAAAACTGAGTTATCACAAGGCTCTGCCTGGCTCTAGGATGCTGCACCTTTCACTTCAGGTTTACTCACATTGATTTGAAAGTATGAAACCGCGGCCCCTGCGTCTCCATCAGTCGCCTTTAACAGTGTTGCTGTGGGCGATGTGTCAGCAAATTTAGTTCGCATGTTTTTAGAAGGCAAAGACTGCACATAGAATGCCTCCACATGTAGCAACTGAAGCACTATAGCAAGAGTCTCTGAACAATAACCTGTGGCATAGTACCCCCTCCAGGAAACTATCCACCATAGTTGTAAAACCCCGAGCCGTTTGCGTTGAAAGACATGCATACTCAAAATTACCTCATTTAGACCTCAGTGCCATACGCCACCCCCGCTAACGACAGAATTATTTCCACTTATATTTGATTTCAGCGGATCAGGGACTGCTTCAGATGGAGAGGTAAATTTGCCCATGACTGCCTGAATCAAGGATAAAAACAACAATAATAATTTCAGATTACTGAAGTGAAAATGGCTCTTACTGTGCACACGATGATTGCAGATGGAAAATGCCTGCATTTTTCAGTAAGCGCACCGTATGGGGATGTTTCTTACCATAGGAAGACTTTTCTTAACATATGAAAGCATCCAATCTGCATTTGTTGATAGAATGGCGGCTGTTGGTTTTGTGAGCTGCGCGTTCAATGTTTTTAAGCCAGGATGTTCGCTTAAGAATGCAGGTTCCAGAATGAGCCACACATCTCTAGCTCTTTTAGCCCTGACAAATCAAAGAATGTAGATATTTTAGAGGATTTCAATTACGTCATGGAACAACACTTCTAGCAGGCACAATCAATAAAAATGGTATGATACATAAACACAAGGCACGTGGAAGAGAAGTAATTTATGAATCTAAATGTGACCATATGTTTCAGCCGCACTGAAAATGATTTGCCAGTCGTTTCGACTTGCATCTATTTAAGCCTCAAATGTGATTTTCAGCAGTGAACACGAAAACCGGATTTCCACGTTTATTCTATTCATTCAATACAAGAGGCTGTTTACCAATTGACTAGTGTTATCAATTTCCCTCAATCTTCACGAATATAAGAAATCCCTCAAACACGTCACAATCGTAAACCTCGGGATTCTACCACATAGAATTACGTCTTAGGTACATGTACTAGTTCTAGAGACCGACTCATTCTCTTCTTTTACAGGCAATAGATTGCAATCATGAACAGGTTTTCTATATTAGAAACTAGTGCATTATTGAAACGAAAACTCACCTTTCAGCTCTTTCTATTCCATGCTGTAGAACAGATTCCAATGGAGGTCCCTCTAGCCTGGATAAAATACAAATCCAATTATTACGACGACTTCAATAGACTAAACACTTATTCTCAAAATTGTCATCATTTGTGAAGAATAATAAAAGAATCACATACTAAAATCTGCCAACTGGCACTTACATAAGAGACTGAGCATTGGCGACAGCAAAGTAAAACACCTGAAAATGTTGCACAATCATAGCTATCAGCCCTCCGGTCAAGGTGTACACGAAAATTCAAAGGTTGAGCTGTAAAACAAACACAATCTAAACTCTTGCTAGAAACTACAACGCAAACATGGTAGGCGAATCAATTGAGGAAAAGCCTGTATCATCGTCGATGAAGCGCTCGAAAAGCAACATAAAGCTCAGAAAGAAATGAGATACACATGGAGTACCTGAGGTTGATCAGCAACAAAAGCAAGAGGAGACGTCACAATGTCATCGGAATTCGGCACTTGCGCTCGGCAAGCGCCACTCCATGAACCTGACCTAAATCTCACTAGACTACCCCCGTTACCTCCGAAATTCCGTCGCGGAAAACCACTTCCTAATGATGCTGTGCTTCGCCACCGCACACGAAACTGTGGTCGTGATGATGGCGGAGGCGCAGGGTATAGCGCAAGTGTTGCAGTTACCATAGCTGGAACCCGAATCGAAAGCCTGAAACCTATGTTACGAGATAGAACAGGGGAAGGAGAAGCTGAACGAGAAGCCCGAGTCCACGGCGTCCTCCGGCGCAACTCCGCCTTTACCACGGCGACATCGACGAGGCCAACACTTCAGCACTTTGCCTCCGAACGTTGTTTCGGGGGATAAAGGTGTTGTCCACTTCGGATGAGTGTGTTGTTCACTTTGGAGTGCCTTCCTTTTCTTAAAACCAAGTAGTTGAGGTGTAATAAAGAGAGATATATTTTGGATAAACAAGAACGTATATATATATATATATATATATATATATACACGTAGACCTTTATTTTTTAATTAAGAAGATATTTTATTTAATTTTCAAGTCCCTTAATTTTCTTCAAGGCTAACCTGATACGTTTATGGCAATTTAAAATTTCACAATTTTTTGAAGTGGAGGATAACAAAGGAAAGGTGGTTGATTAAGGGATTTGAACAATTTTCATACGCAAAATAATTGCCAAATCGGTGAATGGTTAAATAGACATACCAAAAAATGTATTTTGTTAAAGATAAATATACACAAACAAACATATAAACATCATTGTCTTTAATGTATAAGATATTCATATATATATATATATATATATATGTATATTATACTTTTCTCGCTTAAAATAATTAATTAAACAACAATACAAATATATACATGTATATTTTTTTTAAATTAAAATATTAAGGATTCATTCCTAAATGTAATGATTAAAAAAATACTTCTTTCTAATTAATTATACAAAAATTTAGGTCAATGAATAATTTTGTTAATTCACTGATTAAATCCAATATTTAATGAATAAGTTCTAATTAATAAATTTTATAAAGTAAAAAAAAATTCCAGTTAGTGCAAATGTTAATTTTTAGTACTTTTTAATGACTAATGCAATCTTAGCTTTGAGATACTCTTGTAAAAACTTCATTTTAAAACTTAGAAAATACTGACTTTGTTGTTAGCATCTTTCAAAACATTAGGATAGATATTTTTATAAACTAAAGTATACTTAAAGCTATTTGTACAAATTTGAACAACAATATTATAGAAGTTTGGACAATATGTATTTATGAAAAATCTTTTTGCAGTCTATTCTGTGTAAATCTGAAAATATGGTCTGTGAAACCTCAACCATAAGTCATTTGATTTTATTACTTAACAAACAATAAGTTTAACAAATTATTTCTTAATTTTCTTAATTTATTCCACGATCCAATTATAAAAAATATTTAATATATACATATATATATATATAGATATATACACACACACACACACACAAGAATATAATATTTAATTTTTAAGTTTTCGTTTTTGAAGTTAATATATTTGTCATCGAATTCTCAACTTACACTTAAATTGCCAATTAATATTACTCTCCACCAAATTAAAAATCAATGAAACCAAATTATCAAAAAAGAAAGGTAATCAAAGAACACCATGCATATCTTATTCATCCGAATACTGTAATGTCAAAACTTACAGTTATTGTGCCCTTTTCTGGACCCTAAAAACACATTAATGTTTCAAGATGACCCAAAAAATCAAAATGAGATGGATGTGAATGGGAACATAGATAAAAATGTGAAAGCTTTAAAAGTTGGAAGCTACTTTTTTCCTGCCGTGAAATAGAATGGGAAATGGAATTCTCTAGCCCCCTGTCAAGCTCGGGGATGTCGTCTTCGGGCCTGAGACACCGACGGAAAGCGAAACCCCAAACGCGAAGGTCGATGAGATTGGTCGCCAAGTTCGATTAGTTTAGTGGAGCTTGGCCTGGAAACACAGATCCGGCGACGGTGACAGGGTTTTCGACTCGCACCAAGTGGACTGAGTCGGAACGTAGATTAGTGTTTTATCGAGAAATTATTAGGGGGAGAGTATCGAGCGATGGCGGCAGCACGCTATGGAGATGCTTTGCTCATTGTCGCCATCTCCGTCGTGTCGGCCATCATCTGCGAGGGTATTAGCTGGGTGCTGATTTACCGCACCACCAACTACAAGTCGCTCCGCTCCACCATAGACCGCACCTCCAAGAAGATAGAGACGATGAAGAGCCAGACGCCGGCGTCGGCAATCGCTGCGGCTAAGAAATCTAAGAGTAAGAAGATGGATCGGTACGAGTTGTCATTGAAAGAGTCCAGCCGCGATTTGTCGCTGTCCAAGTTCAAGTCTGGGGCTGTGGTTGCGCTCGTGCTTTTTGTTGTGTTTGGGCTGCTGTCGTCCCTTTTTGAGGGCAAGGCTGTTGCCAAACTGCCATTCTCGCCTATTCCCCTCATCCAGAAGATGTCACATCGAGGATTACCTGGTGACGATGCCACCGACTGCTCCATGGTGTTTTTGTATTTTCTCTGCTCTGTAAGCATTCGCTCCAATCTACAGAAGTTCCTAGGGTTTTCTCCTCCTAGAGGAGCTGCAGGGCAAGGACTTTTTGCGATTCCAGAACAGAAGTTGAAGTGAGGTCTGAGAAGTGCGGTGTGGCAACAAGAGTCGATGCATGTAGAGATCTTTGTAGCCCTTAGGGTTTATACAGAACAGAGAAGCGCTCCTGATGAAGTTGGACGATGGGGACAGTAAGTCACTTTCATCGCATGTCTTTAGGTCTTCTATGTTTTTAAAGCGGGATTGTGATCCTGTAACAGATTTATGTATGTGCTTCCATTGATACCTATATGTTTGATGTCTTTATCCCGTATGTTCATGTATCATGATCAACCTAACATACGTTAAGCGCAGTCCAAGTCGTTGCTCGGTTGTGAAGGATGATTTATACCCCGGGATTATTCATGTTGTAGGTCTTTTCATGCTTACGATCTCAACTTCCTTGTAGCACGTGGATAAGTGTGTTAACATGCTCAGTTACTCCCTTCGAATGGAATTATGAATGAGTGATTGATCCTGTGATGGAGTCGGATAAATTTCTACTCTGAGGACACCTTGTTAGAATCTGGTTCAGTCGTCACGTCATAGACTGTCCATACATTTTCTTTCCTCAAATTGCGTGATAACCCTTGCCCCTGATGCAATTTGTGATGGTGTTAATTGCTTTGCCACTATGCTATTACATTGTCATATGCTCAAATGCTCACTTGGTGGATTGGTTCACACTTCAGGGAAATTTTGGCTAAACTAAACATAGATCAAGGGTTTCAAATCCGTACTGCCAAAATTTTCTCCACCTTCAGTTCCATCGGACAGTTCTCGAACTTAGGGCGATTTTACTTGCCTCATCCTGGTTCTGAGCAAGCTGAGTTCCACTTGGTCCCTTGCCCGAAGTTTTACGAAGGAGGGTGCACTCAACCTCCTAGTGTCGAGAACCAAATGCTATGTGTGTAGATGAGTCTCATTTCTTAAATGTTCGTCATTTTATTTCTCAGTGGACAGCAATTTGACACTTTCAACGAGTAGACTTGCTCCATTCAAGTCATACGGTGGTTAATACTGTTAACTACACAACCTGAGGCTAACCAGTGCGAGGTGTTTGCAATGACAAAAATCTGGGCGTGAGTCATCAGCTGTTCCATTATTTTAGGTTCCGCGATAGAGCTAGTTGGTTGCAATAATCACACTAGGGCAACTCAACTACATAAATACAAGCACCAGAGCGGCAATTGCAAACTATGATAATGAGCATTGCAATCACTAGTGAGTATTTGAAATGCTATTTATAAGATTATAGCGACATATTTCGTAGACATTATAGCTGAAGGTGATGTTCCTCAGCTACGGAGACTTGGGGCTTATAGCTGAGGAACATCACCTTTAGTCCAACTTTTACATGCATACAGTCTAGCTGAAATGTAACATCTGAAAAGCTACAATAATCATCGTTTGGTTATTTGTGCAAAATTTTCAAAGCTTATATGTCCAACTTCTTCTGAATCTCCGCCATCGTCTTCGCAGACTTCTGAAGTTGCTCCCTTTCCTCGTCCGTCAAGGGGCTGTCCATGACGCCGATGATCCCCGAGCGCCCAATCTCGGCAGGAAGGCTCAGGTAGGCCTGGTCTTTGATACCATGGAATCCCTGAGAGCACACCGACACGGGATGGATCCGCCTCTGATCACGCAGCACGCTCTTCACCAGACTTGCAACGGAGTATCCGATCGCCCAGGAAGTATAACCCTTCAGTTTGATTACTTCATAGGCGCCATCCACCACTATCCTGTGGAGCTCGGAGAGAGTGTCGGGGTTGTAGTCGATGTGCCTCTGCTTCAAATAGGAGATGATCGGGATACCGCCCACGCTAACACTGGACCAAAGAGGGACCGAGCTGTCGCCGTGCTCTCCCACAATATAGCCGTGCACATTCTGGGCGTTAACGTCCAGGTGATCAGCCAACAGCCAACGAAAGCGAGAGGAATCGAGGTTGGTGCCGGATCCAATGACGCGATTGGGAGGAAGGCCCGACAGCTTGTAAGCGACGTACGTAAGAGCGTCCACGGGATTGGAGATGATGAGGAGGATGGTGTCAGGGCTGTGCTTCACCAGCTGAGGAATGATCTTCTTAAACAAGGAGACGTTCTTCTCCACCAGAGCGAGGCGTGATTCCCCCTCTCGCTGCCTGGCTCCTGCGGTCACAATACAAATGTCAGAGTCGGCGGTGACCTTGTAGTCTGTGTCGGCCAAAATCTTAGACCTAGGCAGAAATGCTGCCGCGTGCTGGAGATCAAGCATCTCTCCCTTGAGCTTCTCCTCCACCACGTCCACAAGCGCAAGCTCGTCGCACAGGTCCTGTGTTAGAATGGTTTGAGCGCACGCCATGCCCACGTTCCCGACTCCTACGACAGTGACCTTGGAAGTCCTCCTCGGTACGTTTGAGATGCTGGATCCGGGAATCGACTTGAACAATTGGTTGGCTACTTTGTCCGTCAATTCGAAGGCCGATCCAGGCTCATGTTTCGCTTCTTCCTCTCGCCAGTTGAATACGAACTTGGACTTCGTATTCTGCCCAATCGTAGCCATGTCTTGTCGATGGGAGAGCTCCTTTGACAACAATGAACTAGACACGCACTTGAAATCTCAGATTAAAGAGAGCTAGAGCCCGATCCTGCTACTTTGGCTCGCAACGCTTAGTTACTGTTGTGCTATGGCTACTCTGGAATGCTTAAACCATGCCTTGTCATCGATAGTGCAAAATCTGTAGCAAATGAGAATAAGTGACTGTCTCGGCAATCTGCACATCATACACCACCATCGCCACAACATTCAGTTCAACAGCCCTCGCTTAATCGTCAGCGACAACACGCGAGTGAAAGCCAGGACAAGCTAGTCCCACAATAAGCTAACATAGAAAGTCAAAGATGAACTGTTGTTAAGAGTCCTCCTTGCGCAATCACACGAGGACGCACCAAGTAGCCGGTAGTGCAGCATTCGACTTCGACACACGGATACCACTTCAGCAAATTGCTTCTAAACCCTCTCTTCCTCTCACTCTCCCCCCTCCTACAGCAGACCGTCGGAAATCTCCGTGAGGAGTGCTAGCTGTCAACGCAAGCTTAAAAAAAGCAGCTACCCTACATGACCACAATGTGAGGTTCCTCGCTTGTGTCAGGGAAGTTGCCCCCAATCAAAAGAATTTGAAATCTTTTATTTCATTTTTTAAAAAAAGTTCAGTCCCGGAGTACCCAAATCTCACCGAGGATTACCGACACTTAAAAAGAAGCTTCCACGCTTCGGACGGTCGAAGTTTCGAAGCTTTCGTCCTGTGCAAAACCTGCGCTAGCTTGTACAATGCCCTCCACCAAACCTAAGTCCACAGCAAGGTTCCCAACTGCGCTAGACCTTAACCGCAACAGTGACTGCCTCAAGAGCAAAAGCGAAGACACTTGGCATCGAAAAAGTATCCGATCCACCCACGTAAGAATCACGCAACCCAACTGTTTCTCTGGCAACAATCCCAGAAAGCCCCCCCCCCCCCCCCCCCCCCACAGTCGCAAACAATGCTTAAAAATTCATACTGCCATTACAACTCAACCATCCACATTCATGCACTTGCTGTTACTGAACATGTTGAGAAAACCGACAAGTTGAACAAGCTGACTCTGCTGTGGAAGCACTCAGAATAGCTGAATTGTTAAGCCCACACTTTGGGTGGAAATAAAGCATCCACCACTAGCTCAGTGGCTCTGGACTGCTTCCTTGTGTCCCTACTGAAATAGAATGTGCTGCTAGAAGGAGACGCAGGAGGCGCAGAAGGAGACGCAGGCATTCCTTTGGCACAATCCATCTGGACTGATAAACCCCACACTGAAAAATATTTGCTGTTGTTTACAAGGGAGAGGCTGCAAGAATTCCTCTGGTATTTTCCTTCGAGGTCATTGAGTTGTTTGTACAATAACTGTAATGAAAACTTCCACTCAGTGGACCTCACTCACATGGGGAACTCACTTGGAGATGTTTGTACAATGACTGTAATGAAAACTTCCACTCAATAGGCCTCACTCACAGGGGGAACTCACTTGGAGAGGGGACGTTGTGAGGCTGGCACTTTTGCAAAACCAAGTAATTGGAATTCAGCACCTTATATTTCCAAGATCACTCAAAATATCAAATCTAAAATATCAAATCCAAAACATCACAGTTCAAACATTATTACCCCATGATTCAAATTTTAATATCCCCTTGGTATGGAGTCAAAGAGGGAAGAGAATAAAGGCAAACAACATGATATTTGATATTTGACCCCATCCCTCTTTTTATATTTGGATTTCAAAATCAACCATCTTGCAAGCTGGGTGATTTGGTGGTATCAAGTGATATTTTAAAATATCATGAGATCTCTTCATGGGTAAAATTTCACCCAAAAAGACCATGTTTGAACCCCCATATTGTATTCTTATTATTGAAAGCCTTTGCTAGCAAGTTCAAAAATAATTTGTATAGACTTTTTTCTTTTTTACTTTTTAAATTTTTTTTGAAGTTATTGATTGCAAATAATTATTAATGATTTAACTAGTCTTTCAATAAGAAATACAATTTTGATCAAAAAAAAGACTAGTTTATATTTATGTTTTTTTTGTGTGTAGATATATATATACATATATATCCTCATTATTTATCTCTTCCATAAATCTTATACTTTATATTAGTATAAAATAAAATGAATGCAAACATTTCATCATAATTTTGCAAAATGATTAAGATTTATTTATGCAAATATTTTATTTGAATAAATATTAATCATAATAATCATGAAAAAGTATTTACAAATAAAGCTTAATCGTAATAGTTATAACAAAGTATTTATAAAATAATTAAGATTTATTTCTAAAAAAGAGTCATTTTTTACAATTGTTTAGAACTAATTTTTTTAATAGGTAGGTTAAATAACTTTATAAAGAGTGATTTTTTATAATCATTCAAAACTAATAATTTGTATTTTGATTATTGCATTTACATAAGATGACAATATAGTGAGTAGTTTAACATAAAATATGTACACTAGACTAGTTTCCAAATCAGATATATTACAATTTCCACCAATGTGTGTGGTAGTCATTGAATTCAAAGAACTTGATATTAAAAATATATCTAATGTAAATATTTTTTTGTATTGAACCTCTTGAAGTCTATTATTAACTTCAAGTCTTAATATTCTTAATGTATTTATTTATTTATTTATTTATTGAACCTCTTGAAGTCCATTATTAACTTCAAGTCTTAATATTCTTAATATAAATATTTAACCTTTTGACCAACTTATGTCTATATTATTTCAATAAATTATTGATTAAATTATGGTATAGTTAATGGTATTATTAAATTTTCTTTTTAAAGTACAAAGAACTAATATTAAAAATGTATCAAGTTTATTTGCATATAATTATTCAAGACAACTTTCAAAATAAGAACCAAAGTAAATCTTTGTATTAAATATTTTTAAAAAAATCATACTTTACTAAAGAATATGCATTATTTGTTTAAAAAGTTTAGATTTTATTGGTATTTTATTTTTTAATTACTAATTCTATGTAATAAACCTTTAAAAAAAGATAAAAGTTTTTTTAAAAAGTGCTTTGAGAGTTTGCCATGATGGAGGTATTTCCACTGATTTTGTATACTTTTTAAAATAGTTATCAAGACTTAATATTTTTAGTAATATAACTACCATACCTTATTTTTATTTTTACTACATATGATTTAAAAAAAAATTGAAATATATTATAGTATAAATTTGTACTATGTATCCACATAAGTTAAAAATCTCAAAAACAAAAATAGAGATTGTAAGAAATAAACATCATTAATTTGATTCATTTTTTATGGTTTTTTAAAATATCTTTTTTGTTTATGTCTAAAGCCATACTTTAGATATGTAAAATATTTTATTTAATTGCAAAAAAAATTATACTTATATTCAAACATTAAAATTTAAATAAATTATAATCAACCCACCTTTCTCCAAAATTGATCCATCTAAAGAAGAATCACACATGAGGGATCTAGCACTCTTTCACAAATCAAGCAAAGATACAAAAGTAGAGCCCATGAAATACCTCCATCATGGCAAACTCCCAAAGCACAATCACAAACAAATGAAAGTGGGCACACATTCCTCTGATCCACCTCATTACACACTGCCCATCATCTTGATGGGTCAACTTAGCACAATGGTGTGTCAATTTAATAATTTCTTAGATATATATTCAATTAAGTGAGTACAAAAAAATATTTTTCATGTTTTAAAATTCATGAGATAATATACTTTAAAATTATATATATATATATATATACACACACACACACAAACATACTAGAATAATTACTATGATTTTTTTAATGAGGAATTTATGAAAATTTATAACAGATGCTTATTCAACCTATTTTTTAAAAGAAGTATTGTTTAATGGTAAAATATAGGAATAAAAAATATGTTGAATTAAGCATATTACACGCTCGGTTGTTGATGATCGTTAGAGAACATGGGTGGGAGGCGTCGTCTCCCCGGCTGTCCGCTGAGAGTGAACGCCTTCTGTTCCGCCTCTTCATCAGAATTCTCTCGTAGCCCATGGTTGTTGCCGATTCTCCCAGCTCTCTCTTTCCAAGCCCTACCCTCAACTTCAATTTGCGTACAGCATATTTCGGCTCACAATAGATGGAGCGCATCGTCGTAGATCAGTATGATGGATGGCACTGTGTAGAAGACATGGATTTGAGCCATCCTACTTCACTTCCAGCCGTGGTATCCGCTTGAAAGCTGGTGTGAACTCGTTCTCTCGGATATTGTTGTGTAAACTCTAAGGTTTGGTTTCTTGTTCAACGGGAAGGACATGTGAGAGGGAGATTGATAAGAATTTTTTTATTGGACATTGGTCTTAAGATCATCTGGGAAAGCTTCTTGCTGTCTTTCTGGTCAGCCTGTTCTGCTCAGCCTTATGGCGGTCCGGCATTTTCGATGTTTCCACTTTAGAGCAGCTTGATCAACCAGGTTTAAGGTACAGAAACGAGAAAGGATTCGAGTTTCGGCTTGGATCAACTTACCTTTCTCAATTAACGGAGACATTCGATGATTTCAGGATTTTGACAACAGAGTTCAAACTTGCTTTTACGTTATCAGAAAAGCTTCATGGTGTACAGTGAAAATGGAGAAAACCAAGTTTTCAAACGTCCATTTCTGTTGAAAATTTCAAACGTCCATTTCTGTTGAAAGAACATGAAATTGCTATAATTTGTGATTTTTCTAAAAAGATCTCTTTCAATGATACTGAGTAGGCATACCGGTAAAATGGGCAATCTACTTGGCCGAAATTTACTCACAAGTCGGTTTTTCGAGGACATTGCTATACCGCATGGAAGCTCTCAATTAGTATGATGACCTCATTGTGTGTGTAACTGCAGATGCTTCTCCAACCTTGGTGAGGATGGCCCCCTTGCAGGATTGCAGATGAGGCATACTCCGTTCTGATAGAGTGAAGAGGACTGACTATTGCCGCTTGGTCCACTTGATATCCCCTTTGGTTCTACAAAGGTGCTTTTCAATTTGTGTAGTTCTTGAATGCTTGTGCGTATCTATCTTTTTCTGCCTGAGTGTTCCTTTCCATTTCCCATCAAGATACAAATATGACAATCAGGATACGGAGCAAGCTTTTCTCCAACCAGAGAGTTACTGGTGTTGTACTACCTGTTCTTTTTAGCATTCCCAATTATTGAACTTGTTAGAAAAATTGCTGGATTTTATCAGATGCAGGTGCCTGTTTGATGCATGCTAACAATTTTGGTGGCATGTAGGAGATGAGGTTTTATTTTGACAAGCATTGCCACTAGTATCATGGTTTGTTCATGTATCTGTAATCAGGAAAATTAGTCTACTGAGTCTTAATTGAAAAGTGAAACGTCTAATCTTCTATTTATTTATAGTGAACTCTTTGTTTTGGAAGTTTTTTAGGTCCCATTTTATGGATCAGATGGGCATTAGCATGTGGAAGCTGTTTTTTGTGAATCATATGCTCAGAACCTCTGGAATTCTAGAAACTGTCTCGATACCCTCAGCCAGTTTGTCACTGTGGAGCTTCAAATTTTAGTCAGAGAATCATGTGGTGCATAATTCCTGCCAAGCAAGTTAGGTGATTGTCAAGGAGACTGACTGTGCATCCATGAGGTAGATTTTGCACATTAGGTAGCCTTCTAATTTATGAGCTGCTAGATAGAAAGATTGGTGAATAGCTTGTTGCAGGTGTGCATCATCATAAAGCTGTTGAGAACAACAAAGAAATGTATCCAACTCTTGGTGAATATGTCACTCCTCATCGCATATTCAACTTTCAGCTTACCTTTGGTTGCTTTTTCCTTCCCTGTAGGTTAAAATTCAGTTTACGACTCTCCTGTAAGTAACAATCAAACTTGATCTCTATGGTATGGGTTACAGTAATGGTTGTGCCTGGAACAGAGAGCCCAAGATTGGCCTGCTTTCAAAGAGGGCAGGTAATCTATTATAACTGAATAGTCTGAAACTGTGGGGAATTGGGACATCCTTGAAAATTGTGAAGCCTACATCACCAGTTCTGCCACCAATTCTGGCTTCACTGCACAAGGAGGGCAATCAATTTGCTCCTGATACATCTAATTCATATCTTGATTCAGAAACCAGCTGATGCAAAATCTATGTTTATGACTTTATTGCATCTGTAGGTAAGTGCCCTTTGTTAAGCTTTGTTTGGCTGCATAAAAGTGAAATTAGTCCAACTTCACCCGTCTCAAAGTATGATAATACTTACACGGCAAGGAGAAATTACACGTCCAGCCATTAATACTGCTGAGTAAACAAGTTACTTTCCTGCTGAACACAAACTGAAGAACCACGCACACACAAAAGTACCATGTAAGCATCCGTTAGACTGCAACCGTGTACAGTATATGTTTACAGCAAACATGCAAAAATCGGTCACATCTGAATTTGTACAGTACGTAAACCATTCAAGCTGGGTTTGTAAGGAGTCGCGATTGTTGAATCTCCAAGACGAGAAGGTAACTATCCTGGGAGATCTGGTATTTGAATCTCGGCCCTTACCGAGAGGAAGAAATTCGTAAACAATTTCTCTGTGGCAAGCGAAGGTACCCTAACAGGCCCGAGTCTGCGAATGTGATGAAGCTGGAGTAAGGCGAGAGAATTCCTAGTGAGGTCAAGGTCTTGTCTGTCAAGGCGCGACAGAGGGGGCAGACTTCGGGGTGAGAGCCATGCAAAGTATAAACAAGTAACTTCACATCATCAGCTCTAACCAACACCAGTCAGATAGACACACACATTCTACAAGGGCTTCCTATTGTAATGAGAAGGAGTATCGTCTAATTGTCTGGGCACATGGGAAATCCCGTGAGTTTTGTTGTGGTTATCGATGTTGTTATGTCTTGGCCCGGAGGTTTTGATGAGAGGCTGAAATGGTAATGTTGGAGTTTAGAATCGTGAGGCTCTGGCGAGTTTGGGGTACTTCACTGTAGTCTGTGGCGAAAGCATCCCCTCATGGTTACTTTTCCATGTGCAACACTCTTCCCTCTTGATCACCTCTGCTGCCATCTCTCTTTCTTTGATCGGAAGCTGCTCTTCTTCAACTCTACTCTGCCTCCCTACTGGCTCAAATCCCTGTATTCACTTGTAAGTACCTTTCCTACCATGCCAATTTTCTGAATCCTTTGTCGCCGCTTGTCTTTCCACAATGCTACACTTGGACGTCTCTTCAGAAGGTGTTGGAGCACAGTTTTTGAAGTGTGTCTATGCCACAATTTGCAATGTGTCCCATCTAATTTGTCACGTTGTTTGTTCCTTGCACTCGTTTTCTTTCCAGCTGTGAGCTTTCAAGGATCTATGTACTTGTGCCTTCTAAAGTTCGCTCGAGCTGCAGGGATTCTCCAGGCCGGTTGACAATTGAAGAGATGAATTCCATTGTGTTTTGCTGTCGCAAGGTTCTATACTCTGTGCGAGTGAAATGTCATCTCACTTGTTAAGATCGTTTCTAGACATGTCCAGTTAACTTGTCAATTTCGAGTGCGTTCTGAAGCGCAACATTTGTTGAGAGAATTTCGATGAACATATTGAAGGCCCATTGTCACTGACTGCATGAAGGTCCATCGAGTGTCATTTTGCCACCGATTCTTACATTCGCTTCTTACATTTAGAGCATACATTTCAAGCCACCCTTTCAGTTCTAAACTTCTTGAAGGGAGGTTCAATGTGCCTATTCTCAGCTTTTGTGTCAGAAATCTGACGCATTACAAAGTTAGGTCTGGAAGGATTTGCGCACCTTTTAACTCCCTCTTGGATTCTACTTGATTTTTGGTAAAACAATTCTAAGTGTAGCATAGAATTGCTCACAGCGGAGTATCTGTCTGCAGGTTATCTCAGAACCTCACGCACTTCATGGTGGAGCTTGAGATACGAATCAAGAAGAGTTGCACAGGGAACAGAAGCTATGAAATTATTAACTAATAAAGGACGACTTATTGGATGGTATTTACGACAATGAAATGAGGAACTCTGGCGACCTTGCATTAGGGGAGTTGATTTGGAAGACGAAGTTGCCAAAGAAGAAAATGCCTCCCTTAGAGTGCTCGTGCATCTTTGAAGAGGTTCACGATAACTAATGTAAGGCGTTTGGGAGGAAGTAGAAGCGAGAAAATGGAGACACACTTTGGGAGAGTAGCGACGTCAACACAATTGATTTCAGAGCTTAACACATGGGTGCAAATGGTGTATATGCTATATTTTCAATTGAACAGTCTATGGGGCACTTTCTGTTGTTCTCCATTTTTCATGATGCATAGGTACACACGGGGTGTGTAAAGTAGCTTGTAGGCTGAGGCAAATTGAGAGTGCGTGTTCAGCATCATAGGGGTGATGTATTAGAGTTTCGAGTCCATAAATCTCTCTGGTCGTCATTCTAAAAGTCTTAGATCGGGATCCAGCAAGGTGGGAGACAATTACGGAGACCTTACTTCGGGTGTTCTATCCACACAATTTCATAACGTAGCAATTTGTTACAGGGATCTAGTCTGCGCGAGGTTTGTGGAAGTCAATCGTTGTCTACCTCGTGTTTGGGCTCATTTAGCATAAGGCTTACATTCTCAGCAGCCTTACCTCATGATTTCACAGTTGGAGTCAAGAGTGCTACCTTCAACGAGGGCCCACGAAAGTACGAGCTCATTTCCAGCACCGTCAATAACCAGGTACTCGCTTGTCCTCCCCAACCGATGTATTATTCATTTGGTTTTTTAGCATCTTTGTTTGTTGGAAAGTTCCATCCTGTTGTTCGCGGTGTATGTAAGTTGCGTTAAATCTTTTGCAGATTGCTGGCACAATCAACTTGAAGACGTTTTATCCGGGCCTGGCTATGGCTACTTTGCCGTAGGAGAAGGAAGGATCCAGCAATGGGACTTTTAACGTAAGCCATTTTGTAATTCTGTTAAACTCAACGAGTTACTGTCTTGATAAGTAACTTATTCCTCAAGATAAATTAATATAATTGTGTGTGATTGCATTAACTGTATGAAATACTTCATAAAACCGAGGCATGAGATAACGTTCAAGCAACTCCATGTGCATGCGATAAATTTTGAAGTTTTCGGCAGTAAAATTAAAGCTGGAGGCGAGTTCGCTGTAAACATGGGTGAACAGATCTTGTGGAAGCTCTTGCATGGGTTCTCGCTTCTTAAGTCAATATTTTTTAATCGATAGGTCTAAAATACAGTTGAACGCCGATTGACGCCATCCAAATTGAGATGTTTACTTGAACTTCATCTGATATATCAACCAACGTCTATGTTAGGTGCAGTTGAATTTCTGAACCGATTCAAATGAGGTCACAACTTATCATAAATATCAATTTCACTATTATGTACGCATCAATGCACTAAATTTAGCAGTTTCTCTTCTTATGACACTTTGTTGATTCACAGGCTGTAGGTATCGTGGCGGCGACGAAGTGGCCACTTTGCTGTGTGACCCTTTCATTGACGAGAGTATTGAATGTTACTTCACCAGTTTCATCAGCTCTCAAACACAAGTAGATTCTTACATGGCATTTCTGGTTAATGGGAAGCTCAAGTATCTCAAAAGCAGACGGTCTCATGCAGAGAACCAGCAAAGCATGGTAAAGTAGGAGACAGACGATTACAACCCAGCCGCTGGTCTGTTTCAGGTTTCGCCTAGCCATCAGGGTACATGTGGATTTGCTGCTGTTGCAACGACTTCCAGGAATTCAAAGCAAGCTCCGATCATGACCTTGAGGCGTCATGCAAGTAGGATAGAGCAGTGGGGATTCTTGTGGCTCCAGAGGCAGTCTTCTGGTTCCTGGGGCCAGTGTCTAGTGAAACCCATGCAGGGTAAGCTTTAAATTCCATGAAAATTATTGAAGAGCTTAGGAGAGCCTTTCGCAGTCAATCGATTGGTTCTTCAGACTGGAATTAATTTCCCTATTTGTGCTACCGTGGTTCTATAGTCGCATCACAGGTTGATTGTAGAACATTGGATGATTGTGGAATCTCCAAAGGTGATATTGGAAGGCGTGGCTCAAGAACAAGATTCTCTTAGTGTACACGGGTTTGTATGCCAGTGATGTGCTCAGTATTTAGTTGTCCACTTATATAAATTTCTACACTATCTACATCCCTTGTAGCGCACCTTTGAGCTTTTGAACGCTTCCCTTCATCATTGGCTGTGTTCCCGGTGTTATTGAACGTTCACCCTGTTTTCCTTCACCTAGTTTTGCGTGGCACTTCTGTTAGGATAATACTTATTCGCTTCCAGACTGTGTTATTCACAACCTCAACTAAGGGATCCATGCCTTGATTAGTTGGTTTTCAGATTGTTGCCACTCAAAACGTCTCCTTCGACCTATAATGCTTGGCTAGAACCGATTCGTGGACAGATTGACTGCCACCAAAAGGACAGGATTAGATTTCAACTGACAGAAGCACGGCCTGGGCAGAGGTAGTACACGACGTAGATCTGAAAACTCCCTGCAAGTGCGGCGTGCCATTTCCAGAGCAGGAGTCGTGGGAGCAGGTGGCTCTGTGCGCTGTGGAGCTTTTTGAGGTCATGTCCATGGGCTTCCCTAGCGAGGTACGATTGTAGTCAAGCGTAAACCGCCACAAGTAGGAAACTGTCTACCAGGAGGCATCCTACGACTGTGTGAACAACAATAATCCAAACGCCAAATTCTTTGCCTCAGATTGGAAAGGAGGAAAGAAAGCATGTGGACGCTACTGGAGGGGCCATTCTCGGCGACAGTTTTGGACTCCAGGACCACATTCCAGATAAGTGTTCAAATGTATAATTCCTAATCTGAATCTTCAAGTCCCAATTTTTTTTCAATATTCAATAACTACATAATATTTTTGCAGTGTTTCATTTGAATGATTTTGCGCTCCTTTATCTTCAAATACACATATTCAAGAATTATTCTGTACACTTTAAATAATTTAAATAATGATATCTAATTTTATCATTTTCAATTATTTAACATTTTCGTACAAAAACATACTTTGTAATTTCTGTCGGAATTATTGAAAAACTATTAAACTTTGCTTGAGACTATTCTTAAATAAGAAATGTTTGCTAATATTTCAAATACACAATTTTTTTTTTCTTTGTAGGAGGTTTAAAAATTTAATGAGGATTATTATGAATATAAGATTCAAATAATACATACAATCACATTCTTTTAAATATTCAAATTTAAACTGATTAATGAGTATATTGTATTCAAATTCAATCTTTATGCATTAAAGAGTACTTTAATTGTTGTAATTTTTTTTGAACAAATAATGATTTTTAAATGTTAAAAGCTTCAAATCTAATAATAATAATAAGGATTTCTAACTAGTTATAAATTCAGCATTTGTGCACATGTATTCGTATACTTTTGTATAAATATACATACATACACAAAGTTTACTTGACTTAAAAATAAAACTTTGCAAAATAAACACATGTATATAATGTGATCAAATACAACAATAAGAAAGTGATGAAGATTTGTGACAAAAGATTAGTAAACTTAACTAAAAATAGTATAGTTTCTTGTATTATAAAAGTAAAAATTTTATATTTGCATTTAGCTTCTTATAACAACATAAACAAAATAATAACTTCATGTACCACAATATTATATATATATATATATATATATATATTTAAAAACATTATATCTTTATATATCCATCCAAATGGTAAAATACCTATTTGTATATCCATACATTCTACAATTTTATAATTATTTAATCTTTGTACTATCTAGCTTATTTTTTTTAATAGTAGATTTCTTAATAAACACGAAAAGAAAAAAATATCATCCATGCACTTGAAGTAGAGTAGTAGAAAGATGGATGTATTCTACATGTATATTGAAACTACTAATAGCAATTGCATGCACCTTTTTTAGAGAATTATTTTTAGTATAAAATAAATACATATAAAAATAAAAAAATATAAAAAAAAAGTGCAAAGCTCAAAAATTAATGAATAATTATGTGAAATGCAACATAAGAATTATAATATCTATTTAATTGACTATTTTTACTTCAATTTTTCAAAGAAAAAATAATACCTTACTTAATTTCTGATATGATATATTTTCTATGTATATGTACGTATGTATATGTATACATATACATATACACATATATATAAACATATTATTTGATCTATAATAAATTACATACTTTAATAAGTAGAGAAAATTCAATAAAATATATATAATGGTGAATAAAAGAATCTTTATCAAAAGTATTTAACACCACAGTTTTAACTTAAAGAGTAAGTAAACATAATAGCAAACGATTTGACTACTTGAAATAAATATTGTTTCTCTTAAAAATACATAAACTCTAAATTATATTGGTTATTAAATAAAATCAGTAAAAAAAATATCAGATTATACATGTATTATAAGTTAGTTAATTTTTTATTTTTATAGCAAGGATGTTGGATAATAGCATCAACAAAAATCTTTCAAAGAGGTATAATATACATTAGATTATTGATCAATTATAAATCACATTGATTAATTTTTGCTCCATTCAAGGTTGTAGAAATTAAATTTGCTAAAAAATTAATAAATAAATAAATAAAATAATCATGTGATAATATGCTAATAAAATGAAACTAGAAAGAAACAAGAAATAAAGCACATACATAACAAGTAAGCACAAAAATTAGTCCTTGCAAATAATTCCGATAGAGAAGAAAGCAAGAGCATCACTAGAAATCAATACAATATAGTAAAGCAAAATGAGTTGGTGATTGTAAAATATGACTATTGGTCTATGGCTATGATGTTTATTGAGAAGTAAAAATAATTGCATACTTGTGATGTATTGAACTATATGTAAAAAATTGAAAAACAAAGATTTAAAAAACCAATAAATTAAATTTTGTAACTTATATTCAGTGTTAAAAATCTATCTTATTTAATCTTTGCAAAAAAATTTACATATCATAAATGATTAAATTATAAAAACCCTTATTAATGTTTTAGATTTTTAAAATATATTTTTTTATTTTAAAAATAATAATAGAATGTAATGACTTCGATGCAAAGAAATTAATATTTAAAAATTATATAGATGTTATGAAAAGAAACGTTCAAATTAGAACTTTAACAACTATTTCTTATAACCATTCATAGATTACTTAATTATACTACTAGCAATGATAAATTACATATTGACCAAATTTTTAAATATAATTTTATTTTTATCTTTGTATCTTTGGAAACAAAATGGGATCAAGTTTTGGTAGACATATATGACAGTGCTACACTTTTCTTATATAAAAACCTACCTACTATTATATGAGATTTTTTCTATAAATTAAAATATATGTCTTATATTTAATAAAATTGATTAACATGGCACAATTTTTGAAGCTCAATCAAATTACTATAAAAAAAAATCTCTATTTCAATTATATTATTTATATGATATTCAAAAAGAAATCTAAAGTGTGAACATTTTAATAAGGAAATTCATGCAAGCACATACCTATGTCTAGATTATTATTTTTTAATTATTTTTTTAAATCATAAAAAAGATAATTAAGATACAACTTTCAAGCTATAAATAAAGTTTTCATAATTATTAGTAATAAAAAATTGTATCAAAAGGAAGAGATATTATTCTATATTAAATTGATGTTATTTTTTATTAAGATCAACAATACATGTAGTGCATATGATTTTTCAATATATCCTATAAAGAATTTTAAATCATAAGGTCTAGTAACAATAATAATGAAAAAGAATAAGAACTAAATAGAAAGAAAAAAAATTAAAAGAGAAGGCAAGTAAATGTAATAGATTATATATCCTATTGCTGATGTTTGTAAGTCTAAAGATGTAGAAAGTTTTTCTTAACAAATTATGATTGAAAAGTATACTAAAATTGATCAATTTTGCTTCAATAGGCTCAAATTGTACCAAGAACATTTGTACTGAAATGTACCATTTTAATTATAAGATTAACTTAGTACAAATTTGAGCCAAAATTTTACAAAGAACAATTCGTACTAAATTGTTCTTTGTACTAAAATGTGCCAAATAGTAATTCATCACTTGCAGAATAATGCAAATTTTCTCGATTTATACAGACAAATTATTATATTTTCTTCTTTTATAAGAACTTATAGATACATGCACCAATGCTACTAAGCTTCTATGAGCATAATTGAGATATATGGCAAGCTTTATCTTTTTATAGCCTTTATGTGCAACTCTCAATTGTCAAAAAATTTAGAAGAAATATTAGAAGTCCAAACACCTTTATATTGCTATGATTCTGCACTTAAGTATTCAAAAAATGTTTAGTAGTGTTAAAAACAAATTGGACAACCATTGGATTGTACTTTATAATTACATTTTTTTATGTAGGTTTGTTGTTACATCAATTTGAGGTATATTCTATAGTATATGCTATAAAATATTTTTGTAAGAGACATAACTAGATACTTCTAATGTAGGTCATTACATCAAAAGGTAGGACATTGTCCTACTTAATTTTCCTTCTAATACAAGTCAATAATGACATGTACAATCTAATTTGGGATGACAATAAGTACTTATTAAACTTCAAATCCAAGGCTTTCTTTCTTGTGCAATTCTAACATGCCTAAGAATTGAAGCCTTTTTTATATTCTTTGTTAGTGTCTTATATTGGTAAATTGTGTCCTCTATTACTTAATATACAACAAGTAGAATCATGTCCTATATTAAAAGGGTTTGGATATTAACATGAGTTTTTTAATTAAATATTTTATAACAAAAAGGTAATGTAGAAGCTCTCAATAAAATTAAACAATATTTGGAAATTTTCTATGTTTCATCATTAGAAGCATGTTGGATGATTTTTAATTTGAAGATGCATAACTGATCAAAGTCTTTAAAAAAATTAAGCTTATCTTTTAATTTAATAAATAGTATATTATAATTTTAATGAAAATCTCAAAGAAGTGATGAGAACATAACTCCAAATTATATATCAGTTTATAACAAGATTATAAATCAGTTTAAACATTTACATTGAGACTAATTGTTAGTAGACTGTATGTCAAATGATCCAATAGAAATAGAAATAAAATAAAATAAAATAAATAAAGCTTAGAGACATTCATCT